AAGCAAAAAAACAACACATTTATGAAGCATGTTGTGAGCTCATTGCAAACTATAATTATGTAAAAATCACACACAAGGTTTTTTTTAATATTGCTCTCTTTAAACAGAAATATGTTGACCTGATTTCCATATTCTGAGTATGCAAATTAGGTAATATGATTTAGTTAAGCCAAGCTTCTAACTTTATATCAAAAATATTGCTGGAAGCAAAGTGGCTTCACTTCCAACAGTTTAAACACAGGATTATTTAATAGTTTATTTGGCAGATTTAAGTTAAAGCTATTTAGTTTCTGCTGCAGCTTGTCACTCTGAAGTAAACAATCACTCTGATATTTGGAAGTCCCTGAAGACAATGCTGGAGACTAATTCATATGCATTAATTGGGGTTCTACTGTATCTGTACCAATTGTCATAAAGGAAAGATTTCTAATATCTGTAAAATGCCAGTAAGATAAATTCATCAGCAAAGGAAAATCATCGATAGCCTATAGTTTATCATTAAGGATTTCTAAATAATGTACTATGTAAGATACTAATAATAACCATTGTTTACATAGTTTCTTTCACATCAAATGAATGTTCCCAAATGCTTTATAGAATATAATTGATTAGAAATGAAAAGATGGTGCACAACTATTAGTTAGTTCGGTATTTATTTCAATGTCAACATAACTCCAATGAAAATAATAATATTCCTTGCATTTGGTACAGCACCTCATCACGTTGTTGAGATGTCTCAAAAGTGCTTCACAGTATATACTGTAAAGTGGATTGTGGGCGAATGCAGCAGGTAGTTTGTGCACAGCAATGTCCCACAAAAGTCATGGAGTAAGCGACCCATTTTATTTTGGGGGATTTTTGGCAAGGACAATAGGAGAAACTCCCTTTTCTTTTCCAATAGAGGCATGGGATCTTTAACATCCACCTGAACAAACAGACAGAACCTCTGTTTAACGTCTCATCTGAAAACGTATGAACAAGATTATAAAATGTCCCATTCTGTTGCATTATAAACACTGACCTACTATCCGACCTACTATCCCCCTACCTACCTGCTCGTACCCTCCGTTCCTCTGGCTCCGGTCTGCTCCACATCCTCCGCCCCTAACCACCCTACCATCAGTGGCCGGGCCTTCAGCCTCTCAGCTCCGAGGCTCTGGAACTCCATCCCCCAGTGCCTTCGCCGCCTCCTCCCTTTCCTCCTTCAAGGCCGGTCTCAAGACCTTTCTCTTTGAACCGTGCCTTCAGCTCCCCTCTCAACTCTCTACCCCCTCCTCGCTTCCTCCCTTCCCTCCCCTCACCCTGACCATTTCCCCCCAATGCTCGGGTCCCGACCCAACTGTCCAGCGCCTTGGGACGTCCTCCGATAAATGGAATCTTGTTGTTGTTGTTGTTGAATATTTCCATGGCCTGATATCTTATTTTAAAACATAATAAAAATACATTTTACAGACTGGAAAAACTGTCGCTACGCTTAACAGTCATTACTATAAAGTGCTCTAGATGTGCTTCCTTGTGATAAAGCATGATTTTCTTCTTTCTTGCTTGCAGTTCCATAGGGTTTTATTAAGTTTACTATGACAACATAGTAGTAAGAACAAGTTGAAATAAAAATGAAGATGTATTTGCAGTATTAATTGGAGAGATTGGCTGTAACCTCTTTAAATTTTTAGCAGGCAGTACAGTATATATAAGAAAAAAAACTTTGAAATCTTGGATATCCTCGTGTTTTTTTGAAGTGTGAAATATGAGGTACAAATGTAGTTATTGTGTGATAAAAATTGCAGGTATTGCTTCAATGCATTTTATTTTGAAATAAGATAGTAGTGGATAAAAAGCAGCATTGGGTTCCGAATCTGATCCTAGTTAATGTCTGGAGACTTCCTTCATAATGAAACAATGTGTATTATAATACTGCTTTCCACTTCCATTTTCTCATTAAGCCATAAGTACCAGTTGAGTTGCAATAGATATGATAATAAGGTAAACTGAGGAAAGATTAAGGCATTTCCTTTCTCTTGAGGTTTTATTCTGATTGATACTACGGGCGTCCTCTTAGCCAGTCACTAGGGAGATTAAGCAGCTTGGTATCACCATCACCTCAGAGGCTGAGAAATATATCCTGTGAAGAAAATGCTCCATGCTGGAAGTTTCAGTGAATCATGACAGATTTTGTGCATCATTGGCATCTGTAAAGAGCATTAAGCACAATTATATCTTAACCATATCAAATCGAGAATCTGTGTCACCAGTTGTATGATTTCAGAGACTCCAAACACTTCATTAGGTGCGGAGGCCAGATAAGATTAAATAGCTTCTATTTCCGATGTTATAAATGACTAGGAGGGAGGCAACTATTCTTAACTGTGGTTGTGATATTTGGGTATCAGCTGCATGAAGGAGTAGTTACATCCTGAGGAGAATGATCAGGCAGAGCTTTCATGTAATTATAAAGTTAACAGACCGTTTTCTAAATCAGAATATGAAGATCATCCCATCTGTAAAAATGCTTATTAAATTTCTAAGGTTGCCAAACATTCTATCATGGAACATTTGAACAAAAGCACTTTAAGACATCCTCCCGACATGAAAGGCGTCTACCTTCAGTAAAACATCCATTACTAAGTGTGAATCTGTTATCACTCAAATTATTTCTCCAATAGCAAAGAAGCGTTGGCATCTGTTATCAGTTTTGAATATTTAAACTAAAATCTAATCATTTCAATGTATCTTACAATCTTCATAAGTTTGTTTTAAACACAGTGAAACCTTGTTTGTCTGCTGTAAATTGGGAAGGTGAATAACCCACTTTCTTCCTTAATTTAGTCCTGCCCTGCTAGGCTCAACCTTGGTCTATAAATCAGTTTGCGGTAATGTTTATTTTACAAGTTCCTCTGGAAAGTAGCTGGCACAGGGGAAGAACTACTTCACAATGCCCAACATGCCTTGGTAGAATTTATGGCTTGTTTTTGAAAGAATATAGTTTAAAGGTTTTAGCGCAAATAAGATTATGGTCCCTTGAATGTCGTAATTTTCCTTCGCAAATAATAAATGGAAGCAGACTTTCTTCAAAATTCGAAGTTTGTTTTTAATCACGAGTTTTGTTTGTCCCAAGTGGAACCTCGATTTTCCGTCAATTATCTCTGGGGGAAGGAGTTTTGTGATTACAGCTGATAATCAAGGTTCCATTGTGTGGTACATAAAGAGCAGACTCATTGTGGTTCTTTATATAAAACAGTGTTTTTTGAATATTAGTTCATCTCCTTCTGGTAATGTGCAAATGTTTTAATGCTATACAATAGCAGAGAAGGACTGTAAGATAGGTTTCGATATTATGACACAGCCATTGTAAATTGTAAGTCATCAAAGCAGGATTTATGTTGAAAATCTAAAATAAAAAGTAATGTTGGACAAAATAAAAGCATATGAGAAGTTACTCCCCAAAGGAAAGGACTTTGGTAATGTAAAAGGGGCAAACTGTACGTTAGCATTTATGTTCCACTTTTTTTTAACCTCCAAAGGAAATTCCATGTTAAGCCCAAGAAATTAACAACAACAACAACAAGATTTCATTTATAGAGCGCCTTTCACGTCGGGAGGACGTCCCAAGGCGCTGGACAGTTGGGTCAGGACCCGAGCAGGGGTGCAAGAAGTGTAAGTGCAAGAAAGTAGCTAAACCAACCAATCAAGAAAAAACAAACTTTACTGTTAACTTCTCATTACCACATTCCACAGAAACATAAACCCAACTGCAGGATCGTATTTCCTGTGTGCAAGTAATGCATACTACTGCAGATTTAAGGATATCTGCAATTCCCAAAATGTATGTGACAATATATGAAATACTAATAGACAAATAGATATGCCTTGCACCATACCGTAGCATGTTTTGTTATCATCAAAACTGCAAGACACGTCAACGTAGAGTGTACATTGTGCAAAAAAATTGTTGGGAATATCAGCTGCTCTAAATACATCAATTGCTGGGATGTGAAATCCTTAAGGCCCTAGCACAAGATTTATTCATGATGTCTCAAAGTAAAGCCTTTCATACTCCACTTAGATCAGGCAGAAAGGATTTTTCTTCCCCCTGTACGTGCACATAGAATGCAAGTCCTTCCACTGTATGATTTTCTGTTTAGCATTAATGCAGTTGACTTAACATTAATTTTAACTTGAAATGTTGGCAATTTCAATTAAGCAACAGGCATTCAAGGTCAGTGAGTTGGTTGAACGTAAAGTGCACTAATAGAAAAAAACTGTAATTAGACGAGCTGCGATTTTTGCTGCAGTTTCAGCTAACTAATTTTAACCCTTTCTTTAGGCCATCAAGGCCTTTTTACAATATTTCCTTTTGCAAACTGTTTATGCGGGACAGTGTTAAATGTTCATTTCAGTGCACTCAAGTTAATGAAAGTGAAATATATTTTTTCTGAAATCAGATGAATAGTTTGTTTCCTACATGTTCTGTGGATTGGCCAACAACAACAAAATATTCTGCAGTAATCAAGCAAAGAGAACAGCTCAACATTTTTCAGAGATAACATCTCACTGTACAAATGTAATTGGACAGAAAGAGAGTGTGGGAAATCAAATCTATGGATGTTTTATGACCTACTTATTCTGGTGTAGCTCAACCAATCTTTTTTGATAGATACGAATGTGGAAATAAAACAAAGTTGTGCGAGAGACCTTTGGAATATTCACATACCATTACATCCTTCCCAGCCTTTAAAACTGAAATATATTGCTGACTGAGCACTTCAGTGCTAAAATACAATTTTCACAGCCAATATGGCAATAATAGCCTCAGCGAAAGATAAAGCTATTCAAATGTATTCTGACTTCAGCTGAGCAGACTCCTTCTCTAAGCAACAAGCTATAAACCAATGAATGAATAATCAGGAGTCCTGCCTCCATTGTTAATAGTAGAAAATGGTTAGTGTAACAAAGATCACAAGAGGGTTGGATCAAGAAAGCCCTTCAGTCTATTTGATCTCTTTCTTCCAGAATATTCACCCTACCTTCCTCCCATCACAGCATCAAGCTGATTTATTTCTGTGTCCAGTATCCCGGCCTCATCCATTCTTCCTGATAACCTGTTCCAGTCATTAATTACCATCTGGGTAAAGAAATAGCTCCTGGTATCTGTTCTGAAATTGCTCTTTGAAATCTTAAACCGGTGTCCTCTTTTTCTGCTGTCTCAGTGCATCCAGAGGTAAGTAATACACCAGACTTGAAAAACAACAAATTGATGATTACAGATTTTGTTTTGGGAAACCAATCATTAAATACTGCAAATTCCGCCTCATTGTGTGAGACTGCATAAACCGTGTTTCAGCGATTTAGATTTTGTTTTTACATGATAAAAATATTTTTTAAAAAAGGGAGAGACAATTTTGTGATCAAGAACGACAGATTGCAAGAGACCCTGGGATTATTTGTTAGGTGAATTTAATTTACCGTCCCATTTAAAAATGACCTGATGGGTGATAGACCACACACAATGGATCTAATGCTAAAAGAAAAGGAAGGAAGAAGCTGAGAAAGCTGCAGGAAATAAAAGGGTGCAGAAAGCAAATGTTCTAGCACTACTTGAAAAGAGAAGGGAGTTCATCCTGGCCAACAATTCCCCAAATAAATTAACTTCATGGATGTTTGTAGGATATTACTGTGACCATATTGGCTGCCGTGTTCTCCCACGAGATATGCTTTGCTATATATCCTGTGAAGTGCTTTGAGTCATCCTCCCAATGTAAATGGCACTGTACTAAATACAAAGATTATTATGATTAATAATAAATACTTTATTGAGTAATCCATGGAAAATTGTATTATTAAAATTTTATGTTTCTTGTAATGTTGGTTATCAATTGCACATTTTCCACTCAATGACTCTTTAAATGTAAAGTACAATTTCATTAACAGCAACAATTTAAATCATGCATTAAGATATTATGCAATTAATTCACAAGGTTAGGATATTATTTACAAGTGACCTTGATAATATAAATTATATTCTGTAAATTCACCCCTTTAACCATATTCTTTTGTATGCTAGGAATCTCTTTCCCTGGTGCTTTATAGAAGGAAGAACTGTCAAATATTCCTGACTGGATGAAAATCTGAGACTATATTCGATACTAGTTTGGAGGGAAGGCAGAAGAGCATTATATTTTTATGCGAAATAACATGCGGATTCAACTACAACTCGACAGTAGTCACTGAATCTTTTGGCAATAATTGGGACCAAAAACGTGTTTATCACAATAGTAGTTTCAAGTGTCAGGTGGCCATGAGTTCAGAGGAGACAATGTGAATTTTGATAGTAACTGGGCTGAATACAATGTAGAGATTATAGTTTCACAGGGAATTTGGGAATGAGACAACATAAATAAAATCATAAGCACAGAAGGAAGCCTTTTGGCCCATCGCATTTAGTGCTGGCTCTCCGAAAGCACTAATCTTTCGGTTCCATTACTCATACTCTTTTTGTAGTAATATCATTGCAACTAGCTAACAGTATAGGAGCAGAATGCGTACACAAAATAATGGAAATTATACTTCAGGACACAAATAACTTTGTGGTATCTCACCTAATGCTTGAGGTCACTACATAACATATGGCCAGAATCAATATCAACAGACAACAGTTTTCCCAGTCCAAGGAAGAAACACAGCAGACTACCCCACCTGGTCCCAATCAAATGTACAGACCTCAGGGAAAGGGGGTTAACAGTTATGAACTTCTCTGGAGCCCAGTGCTGCAACATTTGATCAGTTTCTGAACGTATACAAGTTATTCTTTTATTTGTGTGAATTAATGAACTCATGCAGAAAGACTCGCCATAATGGCGATGCCTTACAAGTGATGATCGTCGTATCCTATAAAGCGGCTCTCAACTTTGTTCAGGCTGAAGCATCTTTCATTGTTTAAGTCCCTTATTCGAAGCAGCAAAGCAGTCAGGAGCCTGGGATCAGCTGGTTAGATCCTGTCATGTCAAGTTTCAAAACCTGGCTTCTACACAGCCAGTAAAATAGATCAGGAGCTCAGCAGTAAGCAACATTTAAAAAAAAAATGTATTATTCTAAAATACTTCTTCCCCCAAAATTATGAAATTAGAGGGCATGTTTTGCTTGAAGACTCCTTGTTATATTATGTAGAAGTATTCTTTTAATGCATTAGCTGCACTGCTCGAAACAGCAAATAGCATAGCAAATACAAAGGTCACTGAATTGTTCAATCGCAAACTTTTTAAAAAACGCTGTATAATCAACAATACAGATTGTTGAATGGAAGTGTAGCCTTAGGAATTAAATGATAATAAGTCTAGAAACCTTCATGCTGCCTGTACTATCCAGTTCATTTACAGTCAATCAACTTTACAGTATATTCTGCATAGTGCTTTGAGACGTCTCAAAGACGTGATAAGGCACGATATCAAATGTAAGCACTATTGTTATTATTATTTTTATAAAGCGCCCAGTGAATAAGATATTCACAGTAACGATCACACAAAGAAAATTCATTATATGGTCCATCCTTCTAACCAAGGGCAAGCACGTACAGAGAAACAACGTTTTATCTTGGTGCACAAATTACATTTTTGAAGTAGCCCAGATTTAAAAGAGTTAGGACAAACACAACTGAAAGGAAAATCAATTCTTCTGATTTTGCATATGACATTACTAGGCACTCTGAGGTCACCCTACTGTAGTGGCCTCTGTTCATATGACAAAATAGTTCCAGCAATGCAGCTTCATTTCAGAACTCTCTGATAGAATCCCTACTGCACTGGATGTCAATTTTCTTCTCTATTCTTTCAACGCTTATTTCTCAGGGAGATGGATTTTTAGCTTTACTTTCTATCTGCACACATCATTCTCAGTACCTATACACTGTCCAACACAAAACTGCACCCTGAAGCTTTTCATAATATTTTCTAGATCAACAGAATTGAACATTTAATCATCTGTAGCAAATCATAATTGTTCTTAAACTGTGTGATTATACAGTAGAAAGTAAGAGCTAGTTAAGGCTATGGTTGAGTAAAAGCTATGTAAATGGCATGGGGGGAGGAATCTTAACTGGGAATTAAACGTGTTTAATTTATTACCTTTGACAATCATGAAAAAGTGATGCGGAATCTGTCCCCGAGTTCAAATTGTTTTAGATGAAGGAATATCTTGAGATTTGATCAGTGCCGAGGTGTTAATTATAACTGCAAATTGTGTGTTATTTATTGTCAGATGTATTATTTTTACATGTTACGGTTATTTGTAAGCTTCTGTTTTTGACAATAGATATTGTTTCTCAATTCCTAATTCTGAACTGTTAGAGAAATGTACATTACTGCTTGGATTCTGCTAACAACATCTTCATCTTTTCTTTACTTTACTTTAATGCAGGCCTGTTTGAATGAGATAGCAGAATGCACACGGATCACAATAATTGTCACCACTTATTGTGAAAGAATATAACCTGAAATTGAAAACGTCATAGATCTACAAGTTAATACTGCAGAATTCTGTGTACTGTATTTCACTGCAAGTTCAAATTATATTTCATTGCTACTTATAGAAAGCTTAGCTCTTGCAAGATCAAGACTGCAAAAGGCACATCAATCATTCAATACATTCTTGTCATTGATGGAGAAAACCTACCACTATTATTTTAATCTCTTCAGTCATTTCTAGTCCCCTAAGGCATAGAAATTCTAAAATATAATAATCCTTGCATTTGATATAGCACCTTTCATATCGGGAGGACGTCTCAAAACGTTTCACAGGATTCACTGTATAGTCTCGTGTATTGAATATATTTAGTGTTGGGAACTAAAATACTATAATACTGAAGGTATCAAATGGCACAATGTGTTTTTAAAATCAAAGTCCAAATACAGCTAGGATATATCAATAATAATTAAGCACTCATCAAAAAAATGCCTAAATTGGGAGATAGATCTAGCCAAAGGATCTAAGTTTTTCTTAATTATATACAGTGGAAAATGCAATTGCTAATAACACACTAAATATGTGAAGCACATATTATGCCCTGAGGTCTTATGGTTTCCAAACGGCTTATAGCAAAAAAAAGATGCATACTAGTCTTTAGATTAGCCATTTAAGTGGTGATTACAGATTACAAAAATGATCACGTAAATTTGTCGACTTAAGAATTTTTGTATTACAATATGAACTCCCTGGATTTGCAAGAATTCTATTGGACAGAATCTGAATTCTTCTGATGTGAGGTTCAATATGTTTTTAAAAGACATTTGGAAAAATACAACATGGCCACTTTGAGGAGTTATATTCATTTCATGGCTGTTTGTGGGACATTGTTTTGCTCAAATTGGCTGCCGCTGTCACCTGTAGTGGTCAGTCACTACACTTTATAGTAAATCAATTGAAGTGCTTTGAGACATCTTCCTGATGTGAAAGGTGTTATGTCAAATACAACAATTATTACTTAAAGTTGCCGAGCAGCAATTGTTTCTTATATCAGCACAAAGCTGGAGCAAAATCTTCTATGCAAATACACTCTCCACAGTGTATATATGGTATCCCCAATATATAATCTAAACCTGAATTGATGCATGAAAGTAATTTTGAGCTGGCATTCTCACTGTAGGATTCAGATGTCAATTGTTAACTGTTCAAAGTACAATATCACTCATGCAGTTTATGACCTTATTGTGCACCGAGATGTCTGGCTTAGCAATCACCCCTGGTCTCTAATATTTTTTATACTTGGCATTGAAAAGTCAGATTACTTATGAGTTGCTGATATAACACTTTCGCCTGACAGAAAGCATGCATTTTTCTTGCTTGGATTGAGCACAGTCTAGAATCCTCACTACCACCCACACAATTAGATCATCCTAAATATTGGATGGTTGAGCACTTTTAATGCATGATAGTAATTCTATTATTTTCCAAAACGTTACATTAGTCACCCAAAGAGTTTGAAAATTTTTTGGGGGAGAGGGACGTTATTTTGAGATACATACATGAGTTTGAAGGATCATTTTTAAAGGTACCATACCTAGTCTAGGGGTTCTTGATATTAACAACAAGTTCCTGAATTGGAAGAGTTCCATTACCCAGTAATTCCTCATCACTCCCTCACTTTGAGGAAGATAATATTCACCATCTTATAGAATGGTGGAACAGGCTTGAGGGGCTGAATGGCCTATTCCTGTTCCTTTATTTCTATGTTTCAAATAGCATTGTCAAGTATACATGTATCACTTCACCATCAATTAAACAAAGGATTGTCATATCAGAAGACAATAGACAGCTCATTCAATATTCATGTTTAAATAACTTGGGCAAATATACTTTTGATATTAACACGCTGGCTATTTTTAAAATAAAACGGTAAACATATTGTGCCTCGTAGCCCATTATTTCATTTACATTTCATTATGCAACTCTGTTGTGTAGTGAAGAATTAAGGAATGTGTTTAATGGTTTAGGAAGATTTCTACGCTCCAAGATAAGTTTTATCCGATATTGGAGGGGAGCCAGCTGGTCTGAGTTAAGATTTTGAAGCTGGTTCATTAAATTCAGAGCCAGATTTCAACCACTGAAGTTACTGAGCCAAATTCCAGATGTACTCTTAAAAACTTGGCTCAGCTCCACATTTCTGCATATCTTGTTGAACAGGGAGAACTGAATTTTCAAAAGCAATCTCAACCAAGTCAATTTAAGACCTGTTGGCGTCTGGCTTATTCAAGATGACAAATGTTACCTTTTTTGAGCCAGTTCCACGGCTATCTCTGTGCGTGAACTTAAATCCACAAGACTGACTCATTCATCTGGTAAATATTGAAGATCACTATTCTGTTCCTCACTGGACTAAACATGAATTTAGCGTTTCAGTTGTGACTACTAGGTTGGATTTACACAAAATATTATTCATAAGTGGCTGAACATCATATTTTAGGAATTATTTTGTAGGCTAAGAGAAATAGCATGCTTTAGAAAACCCATACTCCAGATGTTTATTGACTGCTTACTTGGACATGATTCAAGTTAATTTAATTATTAGAAGCACAGCTAAATATTTTACAAGCTGTCTAATCTTATAGTTATAAAAAATTTAAAATATTGGTCAATAATTAATTGAAATAAGTCAATGCCTGAATTAAAATCCATAGCCTAATCAAATTGCTGAAAATAATACATTGAACTGTGGTCACAAGGACTTGTGACAGTCTAGGGAAAAGCTTTATTTTGAAAACGCAAATGAAGTTATAGTTTATCAATAAATGCTTCTATAGTAAATGTCTAACAATTGGAACTGTATAATCATGAAAACCCAGTTCACTCTCCAAAATTAGAAATGCAGAGTAAGGGAGAGAGTGTGCATTCGATCTAGACATGGGGAAATTTCTACACGTAGGTGACATACTGTGAAAGTCTGTCTTGTTTGACTGCTCTTAAGCAATGACAGGTTTCTGCATCTGTCAGATACACAGCCTTATGCAAAAACAAATAGTGTAAGGCTGTAAACCAATCTAAAATTCAACTGCACATTTTATCGAGTTGGTAAAAAACAGTTGCAGCGATTATGATTAATGTGAAACAACCACGTAAAGGCCCCTTTTCTGCTCCAAAGTAGTGAAAGCGTGTTAGTCACATCTTTCACACGTGTGTACTTGTGGATATGCCATAGATAAGAGCATTCTGCACCTTGATATGTCAGGTTCTGTGGAACAGAGCATGTACATAGATATACGAGGACATTAGCAAACTAGCAATCTGTTTTTTCCACTTTTTTTGGCATGTCTTTGTTCTTATGAGCACGCAAGATATAAATGAGATGAAACAGAGTTCTCATGCTTAAAAGGCCCATAACAGTGGTGCCAGCTTCCTTTAAACTATCAGTCAGACTTCAGCACCGAATCTGCAGTGGAACAATAAAGACATGTTTACAGGAAAAGTGTGATCTTGACTGGAGATCTGTAATATTAGTAGTTACAGTTTTATAGAAACATATTGCTAGTTGTGAATACTTTGCTGAGTGATTCACATCTTTTGGGAGGGATTCCATTGCACATTAGCACACATCTGCTAGCCGTTAATCTACTGATCAGCAAATTGTCACTTAATAGGAAATTGAATTACAAGAGTCTCCAGGTGAAAATTCCTAACAGTCTAATTTCCACATTGCACTGCCAGCAAGTTATTTCATTTCATTTTTCTTCCTAAAGTCTGCTTGGATTAGATTTGTAATCCCCACGTCCATGCTGCCCTCCTCAATCGTGGGGTTAGCATGGTCCATTCAATGGTCAAAGTGTCAGCTTGGCTCAGTTGGTAGCACTCTTACCTCTGGATCAGAAAGTTGTGGATTCAAAACGCATGTTGGGATTTGAGTTCACAGACTAGGCTGATGGTTCAGTGATGTCCTGGGAGAATGCTGCATGGTCGAAGATGCTGACCTTCAGATGTGTTGTAAAATCAAGTTCCTACCTGCTTTTTAAGGTGGGATTTAAAGCACTATTGAAAATAGGTGGAGTTTCTCCTCGTGTACTGGGAAATAAGTTGGTCATGAGTCCATGAGTTAACTGCTCATTAATGATTTTAGTCACTTTTTCTTTCCGATTGTTACTGCGGAGAGGTTGGAAGAAATTTTTTTCCACACAAAGCCTCAAGTTCTGTTGAACATTAAATGTTTTGCCACGAGTAACGAATGAGACTGATAACTTTACAACATTTATAATGCATTCTGCGATGTCCCCCCGATGTGAAAGACGCTATATAAATATAAACTGTATTGTAAATTGTACTGTATTTAAAAAAAAGGTATTGGATAAACATTTGAAGAAAAGCAACATTAAAGGAATGCGTATGAGGCAGGGAATTGGGATTAGAGTAGTTTTGCCAGCAAAGACTTGATGGATCAAGTGGCCATTATGTCTTGCAATTTCTATGATTCTCCTCCAACCTATTAATGCTGTTGTGACACTAGTTTATATTGTTTTTATATATACAACAACTATTGTGGGGAACATTGCATGGAAGAATTAAGCTGTTGTGTCAAAAGTTTATCATAAATGACAGTAGCGCATTAGAGGAATTGTCCTTAGATCTATTCGCTGAGGGTAGCTTGGCAGCAGCTGTAAATCCAACATCAAGGAGAGTTTCAAAACATATTGGGGCATTTAATTAGTTTTACACATGTGGCTGTTAGACCATCTGCTGTCAAAGAGAGTTCTTTAGGAATACGAACATAGGATTGCAGAGGACAGAAGCAGATACACTGTTGTCCATCTGGCTGAACCCAAAATTAATTGCAAAATAAATGAAAAATCCTGCGTTACCTTGTCGTAGCCATCACTGTTAAGTCACATAGTTGGACAATCTTGAAATTGGTACTCCAAATCACTCCAAAGCTAAACTAAATTATCAATGATAGCCTTATTGCTTAAAAAAAAGTTCAGCCTCCAAACTGATCTTAATGCATGCTAATATTTACTGCAGAAATACATTCTTTACCGTGTGTTTTCATGCAATAATTTGCCTTTTCGAAAACCATGTGTGGAGTTAATCGATCTTGTAAAGGCAGTAGGTAAAGATTTATAATATTTATAAATACATCCTTAGGAAGTCCTGGAATTTATATGTTAGAGCACTTGCCTTGCAAGCAAGAGGACCTGGGTTTCATTCCTGGGCAGGGCAAAATATTGGGAATTGAGTAAGTTTCCTTACTCAACTGGAACCCAGTTATTAGTTGATTGGGGGATCGCTTTTCCGGAAGTAATAATCCCTCAAAAAAATAAAATAATAATTTGGTCACTCAATCCACGACTGTTTGTGGGACACTGCTATGCACAATTGGCTGCTGCGTTTTGCCCACAAAGTATACAGTCAATTCACTTTAAGGTATATTCTGTGAAGCGCTTTGAGACGTCTCAAAGACACGATAAAGCGCTATATCGAATGCAAGGATTATTATTATCCTTTCATTCATAACATTCAGACATTCATTCATAGCATTCACAGAGCAAGGGAAACAGTGAATTTTGTCCAGATAGAAAAGTTAAATAGAGTGATGAATGCTATCGGTAATCATTAATTGTAACTTGAAAATGAAGATTCGAAAGGCACAAAACTGATATATGTAAAATAAGTTACAGTATACACTTGATTGAGCTGTGAATACACAGAGTGCAATTCTTCACTGATATATGCTTACCTAAAGGGTAAGGGTTTCAAATCCATTTTTCTTCTTCTTCTGCTTGAATGAAATTGAAGTGCCAAACTGAAACATAAAACAGACAAGAGAACAAAGAGTAAATTTAACATATTTTCTCTTTAGTAGTTGAACATAATCTGAGACCATAACAGCGAACTGCTATACAATTTGTCATCATTGAATTATGCATTACTAGTTTCTCTACAAACGTCTTAAATAATAGTTTCATAATGACATGGACATGTCTGAAATTTTGTTCACAATTAGGAATATCATGCCATATGCTAACAGTGCAAAGCGTTCAACAGGAAAGATGTGATCTTTTCATACTCAACTGATCAAAGCTCAGAATGTCAGTCCGATATTCATTTCTAAAAAAAAATGGTGTTTAAGAGAATTTAGAGTGGACATCAATTTATCACAAGGGAGGTAAGATCTGAAGTTTTTACTGGGTATTTTAATCTAATAATAGAGTATGAAAGACCTCTGGTTTCAATTTACCAGATAAGCAATCAAAGTAAATTATCATGCGTGGTTTCAGCATATCACAAATTAATTGCACCAATCCCTATTCAAACCACTTATCATTGACTAACATTTGGGAACTCAAGAATGAATACTAATAAAAAGTCATGTGCCACATGTTGTGCTACACATCCCGTAGACAGACATGTTGTGTAACTTATTCTGTCACTTTTCATCCAGCTGCACAACCATCCATAACTGTGAACGGCAAGGATATGTATCCCATAATGGATATCCTGCCTACGGCTCAGATTGGGATCGACTCCAGTATGCTTTGTTGAATCATATGAATGTCAGTTATTGTTGCAGAAACCTTTGTGCATGTGCTTCGTCTGCCAGATGTGTCATTCGAGAAGTGATCACTACCCATAGCTCTGCCTGATCAAGCATGATGGCATTCTGCCATCAAATGAGCTGGTGATGCAAAAACAATGGTCTGCATCTATTTGTGAGCTCGGGGATGTTGGGTGTGTTATTTGCCATGCATTGTAGATACCAAAGCTGTAGATAAACTGATTATATGTAATTAAAAAGAGAAAACATTGTTACTGATTTGGTGGACATTTCTCTGAGCTATCTTTATGTGGATTCCTGGTTCTTTGGATATCAAAAATGATATACGTACTGAGTCTTCAATAAAATACAAGTACTTGACTGTCTTCTGGTACCCAGACCATGCAGTTGTTTTCCTGTGTGAGTTGGTGAATAAACTAGTGAACATACCCACTGAGTCATGGATTCCTGCTGCTGCTTCTTGTAGAATACCATGAGTCACATGTTACAAATAAATAGCTTCACTGAACTGACATAAAGGTGATTCATTTTTTAGAATGATTACAATTGTCACATTTATATCTTAAAAAAATAGAAACACAGATACTTGTAGATACTACAATATACCAGAGATACTTGGTTTGGATGCTCCTGAAAACACCCTGAATGTGCTTCTAATCGTCTGGTTCCAGATCGTAATTCCCCATTGTTAGCCTCATCAACAGACTAAGTGAGAAGTAAACCAACTTAATTGAAAAGGTTATTGAACTTTAATAAGAGAAGCCAATGGATCATTGGCAGCCCTTCGAATGCACTCCTTGTGTTGAATTGTATTGATTTATAGGCCTTGTCTCCTGCACAATCCTGTCACCGTGTTAGATCATTGGAAGCAAAAATTCTGTCATTTTGGCCTCAGTAAAATCTTTGGCCAGTAAAACAGTTCATTGACTCCACAATTTCTTTCTGTTTTTTCACTCCATAAACGTGTAAACTGAAATTCAGACTTCAGATTAGATCCTTTGAAGCTAAAGGTGGAATGCTGAGATTGCAGCAGGGTTCTGGAAATTATTCCTGCGCTGCCAAAATCTTGGAATACATTGAGTTTTTAATAGAAATAGATTTTCTTAGAAAAAACACTACAGCAGAGTTTGTCAATCCATTGTCAGATTTTATTTTTGGGTCAGTTGGGTGTCTGATACATGCAGAAACCCCATTACCTTACTTAGGAGTATCTAAACTAGGTTATTACTGTGTTAGGCTTTTGTCAAGGTTTAGATAAACATATTTGTGAAACCACCAATGAGTAGTGTTAATATATCATTAAAATCATACGGACCAAGCTGTCTACATAAGCGCTTTCTAAACTTCGAGTTATGCCAGGTTTAGAGTGAACGTCTCTGAAGTATGCTGACACGGATCTCTATTTTATTCTGTCTGAGCCACATTTTCCTTTTAAATGTATTAAAAGTGCTCTTCTTGCAAAATCTTCTGAAAACCTGGAAATGACCACAACAGCAATAAAGAAGGAAGAATTGATGTGTCCTTTTGGCAGAGATTGTAATAGTTGTTATTTGTGTTCAATAGGCCAATATGGGGAATCTAATCAATCCAACTTTCAACTACTTGATGTTTCTTTCTTATTTTCCTACCAATTACTCTGTTCTTCTCTTCCCTGGACACTTAACAATCATTGATTCGGAGGTTGGTGAGAAATGTACAATCATCGCCAAAAGCCATCTGTCTTGTAATTACAATAAATTAGAAATGGGACTCTTTAACCAAATGTGACCATAAAAAATGGAATTGTATGCCCAGCACTACATTTTGAAGAAGAATGGAAATTCACATCAATTCTTGTCAAATCCAAGGGGATTTGTTCATTTGAATTTAAATCGACTGTTCTGTTTTAAAATTCAACCCTATTTCACACTCCAGACGTCGAGTAAGTTTTTATTTGACAGAAATGGTGTTCAAAGTTCAATGCAATTAAAGCATCAACTTGTTCCATGTGTGGGATCCAGTATCAATTATAAGTTCAATCATAAAGGGAATGAATTCCATCCGAGTCTAGATTTACTCTGTTTATGTAGAATTTCAGAACATCCAGAATTTGTTAAATTCTTATAAACAGTCTTAATTTTGAAGTTTGTTTTCTGTACATTCTTCAAAGAACAACGGAAAGCTGGCTTCTAAGTTAAGACTGGATTCACTCAAATGTAATAGTTTCATAAAGTACACATAAAGAATTAGAAATGCATTGTGTGTTTGGGTGTGCATTGAGTACATTTGGGACAGTTTTGAGTTAAATTCAACATTTAATGTGTTTCAATGCCTCATTTTGTTCAGCTTCACTATTCAACCAGAATATATTACTGCCAGTTGATTACAGCTACTTCCTACCTCTATTTTTCAATGTATATTGATTTTATTTGTGCAATTCACTGAAGGACCTCCAATATTCATCAGTTACTGTTTACAACTAGCAGCTTTGTGCCACAGTCCAACCCTTCCAAGGAGGATGTGTAATTTCTAAATAAAATGAGATGGAATATATATTTTTGGAACAAGTTCCACTTCTAAATCGGTGATTACAAGGGAGCATGAGTTCTTTAATTATTCTTTCATTTTAAATTAGAAAATCAATTTTGAATTGCAGTTTTAAAATATTACATAATAGAGGAAAACAGTTCTGCAATTGTCAGCTGGATCTGTTAATAATAAAGCCTGTGGTGTGTCAATGGTAGGGTATTTCACCCACACAATACACACAGTCGCACTACTTTACCTTTGAAACACTTTGAGATTTCTTGACAATGAGATAAGGTGCTACACCAAATGAGGATTATTATAATATATATATATATAGAGAGAGAGAGAGAGCGATAGAGAGAGAGAGAGAAATATTGAAACTGAAACTCAGTTCTTCCATGGACAATCACTTTTATTGGTCAGCAGGACCTTTCATAAAGCTTAGAAGTTCCAGCTAATAAGAATTCACAGGTGCACTTTGTGTTGTCCTCCTGATGTGAGCTATTCAAATGCCCTGCTAAAATATTACCAGGGAAAACTGTCCTGCTTTCTTGCTGCATGTCCAGCTAAGATCAGGCAGGACGAAACCTTGGGCAAGTTTCCTTACTCCACACGCCTAATAATAATCCCTCGAAAACCAAAAACAATAATAAAAGTTGGTCATTTTGAATCTACAACTGTTTGTGGGACATTGCTGTGCGCAATTGGCTGCCGCGTTCGCCCACAAATATACAGTCAATTCACTTTACAGTGTGTTCTGTGAAGTGCTTTGGGATGTCCTCCCGACGTGAAAAGTGCTATATCAAATGCAAGGATTATTATTATTACTATATTATTCTATTCATTAAGATGCTGACTTGCAGGATTATCAGGATCCGGATGCGAAGAATCCCATCCTTCAATGACACGTCTCCTTCCAAGTTCCTTTGATGAGACAAGCAGGCTTGTCAATCGTCAACAGTCAGTCTTTTCTGATCATTCATCAGTCAATGCCCACATGACAAGATGGATTTATTCGGCAGTAACAGCTGTAGCTGAAGCAGTCTTCTCTAATACATGTAGTCAACTTTCATAAACAATTCATCCTGTCTCAGGAATCCTTTCATCCTCTGACTTACCACTCTTGCTAAATAAGCAATAGCTCTGTCAGTTTTGTCAATGTACATGGTCCACAATCCTCATTCCCGAGTGAAGAGCAAGGATTCTGAGCAAATGTCACAGAATAATCCACGACCACTATCCTTTAGATTCTTTCCGTAATGGATCAAGTCTGCACTTTCCCAATGTGGTTGACATCAGGCAGATCACTACGTGGTGCCCTGTTCTACTGGGACCACGACACCAAACACAATGCATCGCACAGTGAAACACACATGAACGAATTATGAGTAAGATCACATTGGGTTAATTTCAGTTCCCCAAAACATGAGTCTAAAAAAAATGTGACAGCAAAAAAGGGCAGTTATGTGACTTAAATTAATTTGCATTTCTGTATCTCTTGCACCTCAGAGTGTGCAGTGGAGGTAAACGTGGAGTTGAACCAACTACATTTCATAACTTGCCAATGACTGGTAAGCTTCCTGCTGCTTGTCCAGCTAGGACCACCCTACCCTTTATGGCTTTGGCTTGCAGGGTTAAATGGAGCTGGGTGTGAAGAATTCCTACTCTCAGTTGATGGATCAAAGCACATGATATTAATCAGAATATTACATACTAACTTATTAAACAATGCACCATTTTTAAAACCTAGAAATTGGAACAGTTCATTAATGACATACATACTCTACCTATAAGCAATTAAGTTAATAAGTGCCTTTAGCTAATGGCAGATATGAAGGAACACACGGTAGAAATTAATGATCAACGAGATAATTGAAAAACTCAGGTTTGACATTTGTAGTTCCCTTCCCAAATGGGCACGACAAATACCAATCAGACCCTGGCAATCGTTCACTATCCCCCACTGACTACATGTCCAGAAGCTAAGGTGCACAAATTCTTACAACTCTCCCTTTCACCCCACCACCAACTACCAAAAAATAAAATACAAAAAGAATGTACAGTATTCATTTTAATTCTACAATAAATCAGGATCAGCCTGGCGCAGTGACAGCACCCTCTCCTCTGAGTCACAAGGTTGTATATTCAAGCCCCGTGTCGGGACTTGGAATCACATAATCCATCTGTTACTCCAATGCAGTGCTGGAAGTGTGTTTCATTGTCGGAGGTGCCATCCTTTGAGTGAGACGTTAAACCGAGGTCCAGTCTGCCTCTTCAGGTGGACGTTAAAGATCCCATGGCCCTATTTGAAAAGGGAGTTTCTCCCGGTCTCTGGCTAACAATCCCCCAAATAAAAATTGGTCACTTACTCCATGGCTGTTTGTGGGACATTGCTGTGCGCAACTGACATTTCGCCCACAAAATAAACAGTCAATCCATACATTCTGTGAAGCTTTGAGATGTCTCAACGACATGATAAGGCATTACATCAAATGCAATGATTATTATTATTATTATTATTATTATAAGAAAGCAACACTCCTTTTCAGTGTGGAATCACAATGCAAATATTACATTTTGGAAATGTAATATTGGGAACAATGTGACTTTTGCTGACAATTATATAATCACAGTATGAATTCCCACATACATGAGGGAGAAGTGAATAAAAGTGTACTGGATTGGGTAAGAGGGAAATCATGGTGGATGAAGCATAAGTACCAGCAGGGCATAATTTTATGCAATCACTTACTAAAATTGTAACAAATTTCCCTTTAGTTTTATTACACAGGATCCATTAGAATGTGTAAAATCAGAGAGGAAAATTGTATTGAACACAACACAGCAGGTCCAATCAATTCATTCATAAAACACACAGATTTACCCCTGGAAAGATGAGTATAGTAAAAATTAAGAACATGGTAAAAAGTATGTGCAAAACATGTGGCAAAAGTAGCACACAAATAGGATGTGTCTGTATCACACATGGTAAAATACGATCCC